GCCCGGACCAACAGCAGCAGCAGCAGCAGCAGCAGCGGAGGCACTACGAGGAGCTGGCACACAAGAGCGGATGTAAGTAAGGCGAGAGGCGAATTTAGCAAGGAAAAGAAAGCTCCAAAACTGCAGCCGCTGCATTTGCTTTTTGGTTCCTGGTTCTCTTTGGCCAACGAGGCCGGTCCAACAAAACGCACAGCTGGACACTTGATTGGGTACCTGCAGCTGATGTGCGATTTGTTGGAAGGGAAATTCAGGTAGGAAGCGACGCTTACTTTTTCTTTGTTCGTTCTGTGTGGGATCAACTACTTCACTCTCAAATCACGATTTGAGAGTGATTTCATTTTCATTTTGGAGTTTTTATTTGGTGACCTTTGTTTCATTAGTCGGCATGACGGTTTTGAATATTTTGTTCATTTGATGATGAATTGAATGTCTCCGTGAAGACAGATTTGTAAAAGTGCGCTCATTTGACAGAATCGCGTCAACCAATGTTCATTGATTTTTTAAAAATTTAATTAGATACGCTTTTTTAAATAGACTACTTATTTTATTTCCACTAAAACCACATGTTCCTAAGGAAATAAACACTTGAAAATATGCATCCGTGATTTTGTTGACTTTTGTATCTTTCTATTACATTGAGATCAAATTTATTGTGGAGTCTTCTTTTTCTCTCGTTTTATTCATTTGAGTTCGGGCAACACATGAAATGGTGGTCGGAATTGCGCAGCGAGTGTCGCTTACTTTTTCTTTGTTCGTTCTGTGTGGGATCAACACAGCTTATATTATGTGAATGTAGAAACCACATATTCCTAATCCTAAGGAAATAAACACTTGAAAATATGCATCTGTGATTTTGTTGACTTTTGTATCTTTTTATTACATTGAGATCAAATTTATTGTGGAGTCTTCTTTTTCTCTCGTTTTATTCATTTGAGTTCGGGCAACACATGAAATGGTGGTCGGAATTGCGCAGCGAGTGTCGCTAATATTGTGTCTGGTGGGGGGTTTGAGCAATTCCACAGACTTTGAACTTTTTTGTGTGTCACTTCCTCATCGCTTGATCCTTATCTTCTTAGATCAAATTTATTGTGGAGTCTTTTTTTTTTCCTCTCATTTTATTCATTTGAGTTCGGGCAACTCATGAAATGGTGGACGGAATTGCGACTGACTGCGCGGCGAGTGTACCTAATATTGTGTCTGGTGGGGGGTTTGAGCAATTCCACAGACTTTGAACTTTTTTGTGTGTCACTTCCTCATCACTTGATCCTTATCTTCTTTTGCTTCATAGACTTTTCTGCAATTGAGTTCTCACTTTGCGACGTGTGCGTGTGTGTCTGTGTGTGTGTGTGTGTATGTGTGTGTGTGTGTGTGTGTGTCAAAGTTTCCACAGAACAGATCAAAAATCTCCACAAAAGATTCCGCCAACTCAGCGGAAACAAGGAGACGATAAGGTAAAACGTTCACCTGCGGGATGTTCCAAATAGGTGTTTGATGAGCATTACTTAACAGGAAAACTTGAGCACGAAAGTTGCAAGTTCAACCCCCTCATATGGTCCAATGGCATGAAAGGAGCAAATCTTTTTCTCTTTGGGGGGGGTTGATGATTTCAGTTTTCCGTTCCAGGGAAAAAAAAAGTAGACTGCATTCATTTTTCGGCACACAAAATCCTTCTCAATTTTCCCAAAAACATCAAAGATCCTCCCGATCAAGAAACCTTGCTGTAAATGTCGCAGTGCACTCCTCTTGGCTCTTTCCAAATCAATACACGGCCTCCCCATTTAAAAAAAAAAAAATCAATAAATTCAGTTAAGTGCAGACCTCTGCCAAGGCTTCTTGACTTTTGTTGAGAAATGTTGTTGCAAATGATGGAAAGGGTGGCGTCAAAACAGACACTGACGTGTGTGTGTGTGTGTGTGTGTGTGTGTGTGTGTGTGTGTGTGTTGTCGCACTGCAGCAGAGCAAATTTGGACAGCATTCCAGCACTGGCCAACAATCCCATCAAGAAGCAAATCATCGATGCCTTCTTTGACAAAAGGTCAGCAAATATCGCCGTCGCATCGTTATTCTTATTTCCATTATCGTGGTGATTGTTTTTGTCATTATTTTTCATGAACTGATTTTTTTTTTTGTCTTTTCTTTTTGGAGGGGGGATGGTATCACTTTTTTTGGATCGATCCTTTCTAAAATGACTCGACTGTAACAATTGTGATAATTCTTTCTGATCTTTTATGCCAAAAAGTACATTGCACATTTTTCCCCAAAAATAAATAAATAAATAAAATAAGAGACAATGAAAAAAATCTGAGAGGTTGACAAATGCTCCTGTCATGGAGACTTTGGAGCAGAGCTGAGCTCACTATTTGGCAAGTTGGAGCTTTTTGCCCTCGCCGTAAACGTCGCCGTAGGAGTCGAGCGCTCGCGTTTCAACTGAGCTTCTTAAACGTGGCTATTTCTCGACCGCGCTTAGTTTATTTTCACTCTGCCAAGTTGAGCTTAGCTTGTCATGGTCAAGACACGCAACGAAAGTGCAACACTGTCGGCTCGCCCTTTTACACGCATTCGGCGCAAACATTCCTTTCAAGCTGAGCCATAAAAAGCCCATCAAAATAGTTTGGCCCAGTCCGAAGGACATTCGCAAGACGCCCGCCTCGTCTGCCCTGCATGGGAAGGAAGTGCGCGCCACAGCGGCCTGCTAGGCTGCATTGCATTTATTGTAGTTTATTTTTTTGCCTGGGGGGGATAAAAAAAAAACTTAGGTTCAGCCCCGAGTACATATTTAATTTTGGAATGTTCATGTTGAACCAATTTAATTTGTCCAAAAAAAAATATAATAATAAAAATCCTGCTTGGATGGATAAAAAAGTCCACAGAGTTGGCGCACCCCCTCTCACCTGCAAAAATAGTAAAATCGTTCAATTTCGAGCTGTACAGTTAATTTTCCGTCAAAGAAATATTAATACTTAAAAACCAGGACAGAATTGACCCCTTTCCCCCCCCTGTAAAAAATAAAAAAAAGCGCAAATATACATTTAGTGAATTTTCTAGCGGGAAGTTTTGCATTTGTTGCCGGGCAGGAACCAGCGGCAGGACGACGAGGTGGGCTCCTTGGAGGAAATCGGCTTGGAGCAGTTCTTGATGGTCATGAGTCACTTCCGGCCGCCAGCGCACAAAAGCGGCGAGGAGGAGCGGCAGGCCGCCAGGAGGCAAAAGCTACGCTGTGAGCATTCGCTCGACCGCTGTTGGCGCACCGACACGCCACTACCCTCTCCGGACGTCGAGACGCGAGCCGGCAAAACATTTGACCCAAATTCCCCGCGCCGTCGCATGCCTCTCCGAATGGCATTTTGACATCCCTGACGAACGACGGGGCACGAATGCAACGTGCCCGCTTGCATTTGGGCTTTTACTGTTCGATTGAACGTTATGGTTACATGTCATTATTTGAAACTAAGTCATGGCGATGACGAGGCGCAAACTTTGCGTTTACAGTTTTGTTCAACATGCACGACACGGACGGCGACGGAATCATCACGCTGGTCGAGTACAGGAAGGTGAGTCAAGACTTTTGTCCCACCTGCAACCAAATTCAATGATGAAATAAAATTCAACGGCATACAAATTGAAATATAAGTAAAAACTATGAACACATTCAAGTCATAAAACGGAATACAAACGGCTAATTAGAAACTATAAAAAGGTAACAAAGCGATGACTTCATCATATTTGAGAAAAATAAAATGAGGTCAAGTTAAAATCTTGACATTTTCAAAGGTTGATACGATCACAAAATGGAATTCAGATTGAGCGCAATAACGTCATCTTTCCAGATCAAATACTTTAAATGATGAGGATCTAATGATGTTCATTTCAATTTTTGTCTCCCCCTGCGGGTGGTGGAGGAGCTGCTGTCCAAAAGCGGCGCCATCGGGCACCAGGCGGCCAAGGCCATCGCCGACGCGGCCATGTTGGAAGTGGCCAGCACCAACGCGCCGCACATGGTGAGCGCACGCCACATAACGATGGATTGGATTCGGTTGTATTCCGACGACACGGAACTCGCGCCGCTCTCAACCTTGGCTTTGTCGGTCACCTTTCAGGCGCCGGATGACTTCTACGAGGGGATTACCTTCGAGCATTTTCAACAGGTTGCTATTCGGGGCCTGAGTTCTTTATTTATTATTTGGGGGGGCATGGGGGCATTTGCCAGGCCCCGAGTTTGTATTATGACAGCTGATTAATGTTTTTTGGGTTTTTTTTTTGTCCGATGTATTTATGTCCTCATTTTGGGCTGGCAGATTCTCAAGGGTTTGGAGATGGAGTCCCGGATGCACATCCGATTTTTGGACGTGGACACCACCACGATGCGCTGCGGAAAAGCAACCTCTTGACCACCTCGCTAACCGCTCGTTATGTCGCCACACAAGCACATCTGTCTCGGACTTGTGATAGTTTATTGCGCCATTTCTGGATTTCGTTCCATTTTTTTTGCATTACAGTTTATTAGTATCGTTTTTTAAAACACAATTGAATTGTTTGTGATTTACTACAATTGTGTGGCTTCACTTCACATGCATTAGATTTGTTGGTTTTTTTTTGGGGGGGGGGAACAAAAACAACCAAATAAAAAATAATCAAAAAAAACAACAAAAAAAAAAAAAAAAAACATTTTTCCCTATCCCCTTTGTTTTTTTTTTTTTT